AATCTGGAAACAGCCTGCCTAGAAGTGAAGGATTCTTTTGTGTGACTATATTACAGGGGAGGGAGGGTGCTTAAAAGTATGTGTTGGGGTGGAGGGGGCAGATCGGGTGGTAAAGAGGAATGAGTAATGTGCCAGAGTCAAATCAAGGGCCAGCAATAAGGGAAAGGTGGCCTCTGTGGTCTGTTCAAAAAGGACTACATAGGAATGAGTAAGGGAGTGATACTAAAAAGTACTAAAAAGTGCTGGGCCGGGGGGCGTGGGTGGGGGGGGGAGCGAGAGGGGGAAGGAGGCCTTACTTTGAAAGTGAGAGAGGTTTTACTAATGGACGTTCCCATGGGTGAAAAGAGATGGTCAGTAAAGGGAAATAAGGATCTTACACTAGATGAGGCTGAGGAATTTGGTGCTTGAAAAATCTATTCCTGGGAAGGTGGGAGCTGGAACCTCTGAGGGTAACTGGCACCTAAGGCAAGGAAAAGCACAGACACAGGAAGATTTCCAGGCAAATATGGAAAAAAAAAAAAAAGGTCAACAAGAAGGGGTATAGATCAGTATGGGGAGGTGGGGGGGTGCTCTACCATAGACACCTGCAAATTGGCACTGTTCTAGAAGCAAGGCACAATGGAAAAGGTAAATCCATGGGGCAAGCTCCGCAAGGCAGCAGCAGAAAATGCCTAGAGGAGAGAGAGAGCCTCGACTGGATTTCTTAGAAGTTTTGATTGTATGAAGAATGCAGAGAAAAGAGAGAGAAGAGATAATTTTTAGGGGTCATGGATCAGAGAATGAAGGTCTACAATAAACAGAAAGAGAAGTTGGATAATGAAGAGAGTGAGAGGAAACACTTTTTTGTAAAGGGGCACAAAAAATAAAATTGAAAAACTAAGGAGCAGGATTAGCTGGAGGACAGAAGAGATGAAGGGTAAGATGAACAAAGCCACTTTTAAAAAGCATCAAAGTAACTGAAGGGACATGATGTTGTGTCTACAGTATAAGAGAGAACTTGAAACTGAAAAGCCTCTGCATGGACAAAATTAATGCACCTAGGATAAGAAAAGAAGTCGTTGAATGGGGAAAAAAAATTGTATCAAATTTATCTAATAAGGGTTTGGTATCAAAGATATAAACTATACATACTAAACTAAACAAATTAAACATATATACATATAAGCTATACATATAGTTTATACATACATGAGTATACATGACTAATAGCCATTCTCCAAATGATAAATGGTCAAAGGATATGAACAAATAGTTCTCAAAAGATGAAACGCAAAGTATTCATAACCACATGAAAAAGTGCTCCAGATCACTACTGACAAGAAAAATGTAAATCAACCAACACAGGGGCTTCACATCATACCCTACAAATTCACAAAAAATAACAAACAAACAAAAACAATAGTCAATGTTGGAGGGGTTATGGAAAGACAGGCACTAATACACTGTTGGTAGAACTGTGACATGGTACAACTACTCTGGAAAGCAATTTGGAATTATGCAAATAAAGTGACTAAAATGTCCATCCCTACTCTTTGAACCAGAGACTCCATTGCTGGGCTTATTCTCCAAGGAAGCCACTGACAAGGGAAAACAACGTCCCCATATACTCCAAAATATTTGTGCAGCAGTTTTTATGATAGCTAAGAACTGAAAACGAAGTAGATGTCCATCACTTGGGGAATGGCTAAACAAACTGAGGTACGTGAATGTAGTGGAATATTACTGTTCTGTAAGAAATTATGTATATGATGAATACACTGAAGAATGGAAAGATCAATAAGAACTGTTACACTCTAGATGAAATTATTCACAATTACTGGAACTGGATCGTGATTAAAGTTCATAGATTTTAGACTGCTTACTAACTATTGATTACACTACCAAAAAATTATCTTGGAAGTTTAGCTCCAGTCTGACCAATTTAGGCAATGACACATTGCAGGCACAGAATAGAAACAAAACAAACTGCTTGAAATATAAGTGAGGTTTTTAGAAATAACCAATCCAATTCAACAAGCATTTATTAAGTCTCTATTATGTGCAAGGAACTGTGGATATTCCCTATTAAATGTGTGTTGTCAGCTAAACATGTAATTTATTTTTTTAAAAGTGTATTTTTTTTGGTTATATAAGTTGGCTTTTAACTATGATATACTGCGATGCCATATCAACTGACACTGAATCAACAACACTGAAAGTCATAACAATTACATAATTTTTTTTTCATTTTCAGTGAGATTTCCTAATAAGCTAGAGGAAAAATAAATTCCAGTTTGTTCTGTTCTATCAAGCACACTACTTATTATTTGTGTGACCTTGGCCAAGTTGCTTCATCTCTTGACCTCAGGTTCCACATCTGTTAATGAGGACTTTAAGACAAGATCCTCCTTTTAGCTGTAAGTCTTATATATATCAAATTTTACAGTGAGCTTATTTACTAATAATCTCACAATCCTCATTTTTTTTTCTTATTCCAGGTACTAGCAATTAGGATACAACATTAAATTAGAAGCAATAAGGTTATTGGCTATGTCTCCACTTGCACAGCTGATTTGACTATTCTATTAACCAGTTATTTTAAAGCAGTCAAATAAGGCAAAATAGCTGGAGAGGCCATGCAATCAAAAATACCTTGCCTTTCTGAAACATGTTAGGGCTGATAATATACATTATCATATCGATTATCTTTTGCACATATTATTATATACATACTCTTGGAAATGAAAAAACTCTAAGATACTAAGTAATATTTTATTAGGAAAGTGAACAGCTAGTTAAGATGGTATTGAAGAATAAGATTTGTCTTCCTTTTCTGTGCCATGGCTTTTCATCAGATAATAAACATTTGTTAAGTGCCTACTATGTGCCAGGCATTATCATGTGCTAGCAATACAAAAAAAGGCAAAAAATTATCCATGATTTTGAGGAGCTCACATTCTAATAAGGAAAACAAGTGCAAACACTATGCAAACAAGCTACATCCAGAATAAATTGGAATTAATAAATCAATAGAAGGGAGGCACATTAATATAATTAAGGGGTTCAGAAAAAGTTTCCTGTGGAAAGTGAGACTTTAGCCGGGACTTGAGGGAAACCGGGAGGAAGAGATGAGAAAGAAGGGCATTTCAGGAATGGGAGATAGCCAGAGAATGTGCTGGGAAGGATGAATGTCTTGTTCCAGGAATAGCAAAGAGGTCACTGTCACTAGATTACAGAGTACCTGATGATGGAGCAGAAGGGGAGAGGAGAGCTATGAGGTAAAAGAAGACTTGGAAAGGTTTGGGGAGGTGGAGGTGGTTGTGAAATCCTTCAAACAGAGGATTTTATTTCTAGAAGTGATAGGGAGCCACTGGATATTGCTAAGTAGGAGCATGAGATGGTCAGATTAATATATATTATACTGTTAAATGCTTGTTTTATTCCATAAATTAAAAATTAAATAAATAAAAGTTAAATATAAAAACATATAAATGTAAATATACATACACATATACACATATATGAATGAATGGCAGATGTCTGGCCAAGGATGTCCTATACCAAAAACGGGGCTAGAAAAATATACTTGCCTAGAGTCTTGAAATAAAAAAGGAAGACACAAAGAGAATATGGATCAGGTACTATAAAGAGTAGCCCAAATCTAAAAAAAAAAATCAATAAAAATGCCAAGAAATTCACAAAAGACAAAAATGTAAGAAAGGAGCTAGAAATAAAATCTGTGCCTTCAGATGTCCATACAGAAATGCACAAAATATCAGTAAAAAAAATACAAAAAATGAAAGGTAAACTAGAAATTGGAACACAAGGAAGCAAACTGTATCTCACTGGTATTATTATGACTTGATGAGATAGGACCCACAGTAGAAACACTGCTCTGAAAGGGGAAAAAAAAAAACTTATTCAGAAGGAACAGAAAAGATAAAAGGAAGGGAAAGGAAAAGAAACAGATATTTAGAAGACACACCCCTGTGAGGAAGTTGAGGAACCAGAGCAGGAGAATATGGCAGAGAACATCTGAGTGAAGATAACTGAGGCACAAATAACCATGATGTTGTTATCCGAGCATAATACTAACCATCCGGATATGAAGAGGAATTTGGGAAATAAATATCAAGTCATGGAGACATAGCATAGTTGAGACAGAAGACTTCAATTATTCAGACATTTTACTGGAGTTCTCTCTCCCAAAAGAAAAACAGCCACAATTTCTTCATTTCCCTTAATGATAAGTTCATTGGTGAAAAGGTGGAGGGAACCAAACCATTATTCTGCAACTGATTATAAGGAAGAAAAGATTGTTGAAGTAGAAATACCAGGTGGCTTAGGATGAAGTGACCAGTCCATCTCACGATTTGTGATACAAAAAAAGAGAGAAAAATCAGGTGGAGAAAGATGTTTATGGACTGATTGATATGTACCCTATACTGGTATTGCCCATTTCAAGGGGCTCAGGAAAGATGTATGTAGGATCTCATGGACTAAATTTCTATATATGAAATAAGAACAGGTGTTAAGGCTAACTCAAGAATAGGAAACTGAAGACACAAAGAGAAATAACCTAAAAATTCATCTGGCCCTAGTGACTTCAATTCTTCAGACTACAGGTTTATTTTCAATTATTTTAAATACAATGATGGCACCAGCATGGCTACATCAAAAATTAGGTCCTGTCCTAAGACTCACCTGATTTCTTTTACTGGCAGTACAAAAAGACTGGCAAGCCAGGTGAATGCTTTTGATGGTTTATTTTTTATTTTAGCAAAGCAATTGAAAAGACTCATGCTATTCTCATGGCTAAAATGGAGACACGTGGGGTAGACACTAGTATAGGATGGAAAGAAACAAGCATTTCTAGCACTTGGTATGAGACAAGCATTGGAAATACATACAAATAAAAGCAAAAAGATAAACAGTCCCGGGCATGGAGGTGCTTACATTCTAATGGGAGAGGCCAGTGCACGAGAGGAAGATGAAAATGGGGCGGGAGAGGAAGAAGGTACCTGTGTTTGAAATGCAGAAGTCACCACCAACGTGAGGAAGGCAAGGAAGACCACCCTGAGCCCTTCACATAACGAAGCCGGAAGAGGAACTGACCAATGGGAGAAGGGGGTGGGCCTTACAGAGGGATGTTCCATGTTTAGAAGGCCATGGGGGTGGTTGGATGTCCATGGTTCTGAGGGAAGCCTGGGAGCCAGGAACAAAGCTGGAAGGGGAAGAATTACAATTAGAAGGAATGAGAACTGTTTGAAGGGCTGAACTCCAAAACTTAATGAAGGGTTCCATAAATATTTGTTTGGAAGGAGCTTTCTAGCAGAGCAATTCCAGGGAATTGGCCTAGACCTTGTGCTATTTAATTATTTCATCAACAGGATTATTGTAAGGTGAAAATGAGATAATAATTATAAAGTGCTAACATAGTGACATATAGGGCATAATAATATAATTATTATAATAGCAGAATTTAATATTAACTTATTAAAATATGTAATGTAGGTATAATATATAACAAAACAAATGATGATAATTAGTATGTAGTAACAATATATATAATACAGTAAAATGTGGGTTATGATAATATAATTGTTATATATGCAATGCGTTACATATAACATATTAATGTTATATAGGTCATATCATATTTTACATATTATATATAACTGTATATATTATGTATATTATATGTGATGTATTATAGTATATACTATATTACACAGAAAATATAACCTATATTTATATTACATATGCTATTATTATATCAAAACCTATATAATAATTATCATAATAATTATCATTTGTTTATTTTTGTATCCCTAGGCAGCTAGTACAGTGCCTGGTACCTAAATACTTAATAATTTCTATTCATTGGTTAATTGGTTAAAGCTATGGAATGGGTTGTTTCAGAAGGCAGAAGTACCCTCTCATTAGAGGTCTTCATTCAAAGGCTGGACCACCATTTGTCGGGCATGCTACAGAATGGATTCAAATACAAATAGTACTGGATGGCCTCTGATCTCCATTCCAATTCTTAAAGAGTATGTGTGTATTTAAATTTTATTTATTTATAATAAACTTAAGAAATAAATCAAGCATTTCCATAATGTAGTAGAATAGAAAAAAAGGATGATTGTACATGAAACTGCAAATCTATTATATACAACTTGCTATTCCTTATAAATATATAATAAAATTGTCAGGTAACTTTTTTCTTTTTTTCTAAGGGGCCCACCCTGCCCTAGGAAAAGGATGGTTGGTTCTGAATCCAGATTCATTTGAAAACACAAACCAAAATGCAAAGCCACCTGTGTTTTTTGTAGTATGTCTTCAGAACAAAATCCTAGGGGTATAGATAGAAGCAGGAAACCAGCTGTCAAGCTAGATTCATCCTAGAGTCCTCATTCACTCTCACTCCTTCCCCTGCCTTATCCCACCATATTCAAGCTACTGCCAAGGCCTGTGGATTCCACTTTTGCAACATCGCTAACACACCCCCTTCTCTCCTCTGGCACTGCCACCTCTCTAGTGCATGCCTTCATCACCTTACACTTGGACTATTGCAACAGCCTGCTGGTGGGTCAGCCTGCCTCAGGACTCTCCCCACTACAACCTGTCCTCCATTCAGCCATCAAAGTGATTTTCTTGGAGCACAGGTCCAATCATGTCACCTCCCACTCCCCTCCCCCCCACCTCAATTAAACTCCAGTGGCTCCCTAGCCACCTCCTACCTTTTCATTCTTCTTACACTTCCTAGCACCTACTCTTTGATCCAGTGACACTGGCCTCCTGCCAGTTCCCCAAACAAGACACTTCATTTCTCTGCTCTGGGCATTCTTTCTGGCTCATTCCCTGCCTGGAACCCTCTCCCTCCTCCACTCTGACTACTGACCTCTCTGGCTTCCTTTGAGTCCCAGCTAAAATCCCTTCTGCAGGAAGACTTCCCTAACCCCTCTTAATTCCTGTGCCTTCCCTCTACTAATTATTCCTTACATATCCTGTATATAACTTGCTTTCTATATTTTTGTTTGCATGTTGTTTCCTCCATTAGATTACGAGCTCCTTCAGGGCAGGGACTATTTTTTGCCCCCCCCCTTTTTTTAATATCCCTAACCACTTAGCATGGAACATTGAATGTAGTAGGAACTTTTGTTGTTATTGTTCAGTCATTTCAGTCTTGTCCAATTCTTTATGACCCCATTTAGGGTTTTCTTGGCAAAGGTTGGAGTGGTTTGCCATTTTCTTCTCCAATTCATTTTACAGATAAGGAAACCAAGGCAAATGGGATTAAATGATTTGACCAAGGTCACATAGCTAGTAAGTGTCTGAGACCAGATTTGAACTCAGGAAGATGAATCTTCCTGACTTCGGGCCTGGCACTCTATCCACTGTGCCTTAATAAATGTTTATTGATTTATTGATTTGGTATTGGATCAGGAGAGAAAGTATACTGGGTGTCAGAGTGCAGGCTACTTATGTAACTTTATTTGTTTTTCCAGAACTTTAACCTTTTAGATTGGCTGACTGTTCCCCACTCCTGTCTTGAACTGACACATCAGCATAATTACAGATGGGGACCACTGTGTCAGTAGGGCCACTTGGAATCCGTCTACCCATCTGCTCCATTCTGCCTGCTCAGATCTCTTGGAATCTGGCCCTGATGGGGTATGGGCTCAAGCCTAGACCTTTGCCCCTTTCTCCAGAAAGAATTTGGCTTCCATTTGTCTGTAGGCCCCAGAGGGCCCTTATACTTCTTCATTCATTCAACTGGCCTTTCCTTATCTCTTATTCTTATTCTGATCTTTCCCAATCTGCCCAAGAAGCCAGTCCTCACCATCCTAAAGAAGAAGCCTAATCTTTGATCCCCGCCTTTGATCTTATCAACCTCTTCCTTCCAGTTCTTTGTTACATGGATAAAAACCTAGTCCTTCATTGTCTATTCCTGGGTGACCCTATCCAGACACTCCCATTTTCCCTAAACTCCTCCTCCAGTCACCCAGCTCCTCTTCCCAGCCCTTCCTCTGGTCACCCAAAATTACTTCATTGTATATAAGATCCACCTTAGCCCCCATTTAAATGCTGAGACTTTCTCATGCCTGCTTGTCTTTATGGGTGTCACTAATGTTCAGATTCCTTAAGATTCTGGCCTGTATGGTTTATCTCTAATAAACTTTTTCTCTGGCTGAAAGAAGATTTGGGTTGAATTCATTCAGGCAGGGCCCACATGTCGTGATGTTGAGGTCCCAGCACCCCTAACCTCTAGACCTTGTCAGCCCACCCTACCTGCTATTCCAGGCCAGGGCTTATCTCCAAGGCCTTGAAGTCTGCTTCTTCTAACTTTGAGGATGCCCATGCCTTTGTATTTATTAACTGACCTCCTTGCCATGACCCCTTGCTGTCCAGATTCTTACAATCTATCAGAACTCTCTCATTGCAGTAGACTCTTGGTACTGGTTTTTCCTGACATGTGCTACTGCTGAAGTCCCCATATTGATGCTGAGAAAATTAGACCATGGTTGTTGAGAAGGGGTTTTGTTCTTTTTGTACCTGCTCAAGTATCCCTCACTTTCAATCAGTTTTTCTCCCTGTGGGCTTCCCAAATGGTGACTTATGTTTTCACAGACAGCACACAGTGACTGTGTCTCATGAACTTTTCAGTGCCCATTACTCTTAACATCCATCTTGGTTTTGCTTTATTTGTTTGTTTGTTTGGTAGTTTTTGGAAATAAGAAAAAGAATGAGAAGAGGTGGGGTGGAGAGCAGAGGAGCCAAGTAAGCCTATGTATAAGCAGAAGTGGCTTTCTAAATGAAATATTTTTCGAAGTTTTCCAGGAAGCATCAGCAGCTTGTTAAATATTAAGCACAGAAATCTCCATCTGACTGTTACACAAGTATCACAAGGGGGAGAAAAGACTGGTTTTACAGTCTCTGACATGGTGGGAGGGGGATAAGGGGCCACAGAGCTAGTATAATTTATCAGCAAAAACAGTGGCTTCTAGCAAAAGGTTCACAGATGCTGCCTTCTAATTAAAATTTTTTAATTTTCTGATACAATTTTACAGGCTCTATACCTGCAAATAAATGTTTCTCACCACATGATCCTGCCAAATACACTGTGTAGGGAAAAACCAGGGCAGCTTCAAATAGCAAAAACCCCACGATGTGCCCCTGGATCATCTACTTTTTGTTGCCAAAAATCAAAGAAGGGGAAATTAAATTAAAATAAAACACTAGGTGTCCCGTATCTTTTTCAAAGTTGTCTGAGCTAGAAAATGAGCTTGTATTCTTTAAGATGGCAGAAATCATTATTATAAGCAGTCTATATTGCTAAGGAGAAACAAGGAATCAGGAAAGCTAGAAAGACCAGACATCACTTTCCTTCAGTAACTGTTTTTGTGGGACTTTCAAGCTTCCCCTGAGAGGGGTCCTTCAGATAAAAAGGGCAGTCTGGGGAGTGAGCAGGAGGTCTGTGGGGGGAGTTTTAGGAGAAAGCCAGGAAAGAGCTAACAGTGAGATTTAGGGTGTGCATAAGGGAGTTAGAAGAAAGACATAGAGCCCCATTTTAGAAGACATATCTCATAAGCTGGACTGCCCCACCTCAGCAGTTTCTTGCTCCTCATAAAAACTTTTAAAAAATGGTTTAAGTCAAGGGGGGACACACTATAAAACCATCACACTTAATTACATTAAAATCAGGTTGGTTTTTTTTTTTTGAGTCAACACAATAAACTGAAAGAAGCTTAAAAATTATAGGGTTGGAACAACTTAAGAGATCAGATATTCAGTTTCCCAGGGGACAGGAAGAACAATATAACAATAACAACAATGCTAACAAATCACATTTGGATAGCCCTTTAAAGAGTTCTTCAAAACAGCAGGCATTCATACGTATGGCACAGTGAAAAGTTTGCTCCATTTGAAGTCAGAGGCACTGGTTTCAAATTATGGCTCTGGTATTTTGTGTCCTGGGGCAGGAAGCTTGTTCCCTGGGCCTTCATTTCCCCATCTCTAAAATGAGACAGAGAGTCTAGATGGCGGCTAAGGTTACATCCAGCTCTAAATCTGTGATTTTCTATTT